GCCTCTGAAGCCAGCAAAGTCCTGGTGGAGATCAGGACTGGCCCCATGTCCCCTGCCAGCCCCTCAGGGAGCCTGGAGCTCCTCCTGGCTGCTGCAGGGTGGCAGAGCAGGGCAGAAGCAGCTCTGGACTAGGCTGTTCCTGTCAGGTGCAATTTGCTCCCAACAGGGGTGTATATGTAGACCTGTGCCTGGGAGCACATTAATGAGCCTCAGTGTTCTGTGCAGAAAATTCAGGCACAGTAATTGCACATATAGATGTACCCAGAATGTCTTCTTAGAGATGCAAACAGTTTTATGTGCCAGTTAGCCGAACAGAACGGACACTGGAAAGAGTTAGAAAGCTAAATTTTGTCCACTATTGAGCATTGATGTAATTGTTTTACTAATTTCAAATCAATTTCTCTGCATATACTCATTAAGAGCCAGGGGACCTGGCATGAAAATGAGACCATAGTTTGTTTCAGAGAATGTTTACTACAAGACACGATGTACACAGATACAGCTCTGCTTGGTTCCATGCTCTTCATATGTGCAGAAGGTGTGCAGTTTAGCCTAAACTGCTAGTTGACATCAAGTCAGTTAAATTGGAGCAAACTTGTTTATTGACACACCGACTTCAGTTAGACTGACTCATTTTGGATTAAACTTAATTAGCTGTCTATAAAAGTTTGCACCAGCTGAACTATTTTAAACCTACTTAAGTTAAACTGCAACCATGCTTATACCTGTATTAAACTCTGAAAGGTTAAAGGGATTTTTAAAAATTATGCTAAGGTGCTTGATATGCAGTGGGTGCATCTACATGTGCATTTGATCTGGGAGCAGTTTACTTGAGAGTAAATGCTCCTGGGCAGGCGTCTACATGTGCAAAGTCTTGGAAGTAGATTTGCTGCTCATGTCAGCAATCTGTTCCCACCCCAACTGGCCCTGTCCCAGCTCTAGGCTCCCCCTGCATGCTATCCTAGGTGCTGGCAGGGAGCACCAGGTCAGAAGATGGGTGTCTTCTGGAGGGGGCTGGGACATTGCTCCCTGCTCCATGGGGGGGTTGCCTGCTGCTGGGGTGGGGACAATGTCTGATCAGGGGCAGGGGACTTGGAAAGAGCTTCAGGGCAGGGGTAGGTCCCGGCCTCCTACTGGTGGGACAGATAGCAGTGAGCCCCTGGCTGGGCAGGGAATTGCCCACCGGCAGATGGGGTGGGGGCTAGGAACTGCCACACCCATGCAGCTCTTTCCAAGTCCCATGCCTTAATTGCCCAATCCAGGCACGGAGCTGGGACTTCCCTTGATTGGGGCAGTTCTCAGCCCCTGCTCTGCAATTGTGAGGCAGGGACTGGAGAGCTTGTTCCCTGCTCCAGTCAAGGAACTGGGCAGGGAACAAGCTTCCCAGCCCCTACCAGCAGGGAGCTCCAGGCCCCCGCTCAGCAATTGGAGAGCAGGGGCTGGGAGACCCTTATCTCCCAGCCAGAGCTCTGCAATCCTTGGGCCAGCACTGGAAGATCCTTATCTCTCAGGACTGGAGAGCAGGGGCTGGGAGCTTCCTATTGCCAGGGCAGGGGGCGTTGTCCCCTCACCCTGGCAACAGGCAGCTCCCCCAGCAGGGAGCAATCTCCTGCCCCCTGCTGCCCCCTACTGCCCTGCTGACTGGGAGCACATTTGCTCTTGGTCAGGGTCTACATGTGCACTACTGTGCAGTTACTAACCTTGAGTAAATTTGCAGGTAGCAAATTTACTCATGATTAGAGCCAATTACTGCGCAGTAAGTGGCTGCACATCTAGATACAGATGCAGTAATTACCTATACCGCTCAGTAAAACATCTCATGTAGACACACCTGGTGACACAAATATGACAGCTGCTTTGTTGCAAAAATTTTCATTTCACAGGGGAAATGACCTGTGTATGGAATGGCCTCACAGGTGACCCAGAGCAATTTGAGCAGGAACAGAAATGCAACATTATCTCAACTCACAAGGATGCATTCACCTAGGTAATTTCCATGTTACTAGTGATGATAACATTGGTTAAAATGGTAAAATGGTAAAAATCAGAGGATAACTGGCACTCTTGTGTATTTGGCATGGTACTAACAACTGCTCACATTCTTAAAGAAAAGTATAGTCACATTTAGATCACATTTTGCTATTTATGCCATTTTACCTTTTGCATATCACAGTTTGCTTGATATTCAGTTAAAGCATTTCCACTCCCAGTTTCTTTTTTTTAAACTTCATTTATCAATTAATACAACTTATCAATTAATAAATTTAAATCTAAAGATACATCCAGTCCCCTAGGGTATACATGAAGGGAGATATTTATCTTTCTTCAACAGTGCTCCCTTAACCCAAGCTAGTATTTACAGAGGAGTCTGGTGTTCTTTATTTCTCTTCCTTTCAGTCTTTGAAAATTATGTTTCATAGCTGATATTAAGCTTTTGTGTTTCTTTATCTCTATATGAATCTTGCTTAATAATTCAGCGTCTTTTTTCCTCAGAGCTCTGCCTGATAAGCTATCCCATACCAATCTCTGCCTTTAGATTTTAAATTCATTCAAAATGTGTTACTATTACCTCATAGAACTTGCATTCTCCTTCAGTATTCAAAAATATTTTTCAAACTTTCTCTGATTTGGAGGCAGGAAAAGATCCTTTTCCAGCAAATTCCAAGAACTTCCATTACATTTTTAAGTAAGCATCTTTTTATTTTCCTTTGCCAATGTAAAACACTGACTTGATAGGACAATTTTTCATTATTAAAGCTTTCCCAACTTTTTAAAACCAGTCAGTTCTTTTGGGAGTGTCACTTCTCTTTCAGGCTTTTAACTGTAATTTTTGAAGCCTCTAAAAGATGAGTGATCAATAACCTATGACTCTCAGGCCCCCTTTACAATATGCAGGTAAAGGGACAATGGATCTAATGTGTGATTCACATAATTGTGCCTCCTGCCATGCTACACATGTATGGAAGGAGGAGCATTTGTGGGATCACTCATTAGATCCCATCACACCTTATTGCCAGTGCAGGGGGAACTCAGTCCCGGGCTCTGGGGGAAGCTGCACTGCCAGGAAGCAAGCTCCTGCAGCTGGGAGCCCACGTGCCCCAGTTGAGGGGTGCCCAGCTTTGGGACATGTGAAACCCCTGGGATGGGGGGATTGCCACCACAGCCATCTCCCTGCCCTTGGAACATTTGAAACCCCTGGGATGGGAAGATCACCATTATGGTGATCTCTGAGCCCCTAGGGGTCCATGAAATGCCTGGGGGCTGGAGGATGGCTGCAGGGCAATTCTCCCCATCCTGTGGGTGCATGAAATCCCCAGGGCTAAAGGATGGCTGCAGGGTGACCCTCCATGCATCAGAGGTGCAGGAAACCCTTGGAGTTGGAAGATGGCCACAAAGACAATCTCTCTACCCCAGGTGTGCGGGGAGATCACTCCTGTGGAAATCCTCCAGCCCCAAGGGTTTTCCACAACCACAAGGCAGGGGGAATCAACCTGCAGCAACCCTCTGGCCCTGGGGGTTTCTTGCACCCCCAGGATGGGGGGGGGGGGGGGAACCCCCCGCGTCGCACGCCTCGGGGTTTTTTGCCCCCCCGGGGGGGGGGGGGGGGGGGGAATCACCCCTGTGGTGATCCTCTCACCCTGAGGTTTCATACATCCCCAGGGGATGGGATATTGCCACAGCAGCAATCCTCCCACCCCAGGGTTTCAGGCAACCCTGGGGCTAGGAGATCACCCACAGTGGTAATCTTCCTGCCTCGGCGGGGGGTGGGAAGGGTGCCAGGAGGCATGCTACAGGGACCCAGCATCCTCAGCTGTGGGACTTTGGATCCCAGCACCTGTGGGGTGCTGCCGGGACCCAGAGTCCATAGCTGCTGGGGCTGAAAGTACTCAGCAGTTGTGGGACTCCTAACCCTGGCTGAACAAGATGCACCCCTACAGGGGAGACTCTGCTACACATACAAATTAAAGCTGGATAGTAACCAGGTATAAACTTAGTTCACATTTAAAGGTCAAACTTTATAGCTGGTTAGAGGTTATTATTGTGTGATAGCTACTTCGTATGTAATATCTGGTTTCAAGGTAACTGCACAATTAACCAGCTAATTGTGCAATACCTATAACATGTAGATGGCACCTTATAGAGTTCTTACTGAACCTTCCTGAGAACTCTCAAGGGGCTATCTGACAGTTTGCATGCTTTAATTTCCCTCACCATAACTCCAAACTTCTTCCGAAACAATTTGATTCTGGGATGTGTCCACCGAATATGACTTCTCTTGAATGACTACGCTCCCTCCAATATTTGCCTGTTCTTATAAATATGTTTAATTTTAATTGGGATAAGATACCATCAATACACAACTTTAAAATAGTTTTCTTTTGTCATCATGTAGATGGATGTGTGAAGGCCATTGTTCCCGATGATCTCCCATTCTTTGTCACTAATTTTAGAGTAGAAATCAATGTCCCATTCGGTCATAAACAATGTCTTTCCAATATAAAACAATTTTAAATAGCTATATAGAACATATAGCCTCTGTGTTTCAGAGGTGTGACCAATAGTTTTTTTCAAAGCTTGCCAGATTTATATTCAGGTTTGCCTTTCTCTGAGGATGTGTTTCAACTGGACGTATTAGAAAAATGGGATTTTAATATCTCTTGTGGTACACTGTATTACTTCAAAAGATCTAAATTATTTTCTTTGAATTCACTTTCAGTTTCTTTGTGATGGACCATTTGTGTTGTGCACACAGCTGTAGAATAACTTTTTAAAACGCTGATCTCATTAAGATTAAAGATCCTCAGACATTTTTATTGGCTTTAGGTTTTATAGATTTTTTTTTTTACAAATAACTAAAGCTTGCAACCAAACTTGGGATAAGTATTCAAGCTCTAATACTTTAATATAGGATTTAACTCAGCAGGCATGTCACATGGTTGTGAATTTATGTGAAGTTCTACAATTTCTGACATTTTCAATGTTGCATCTCTTCCATACAGGTGTCCTGGGAGCACCATTTCTCTCTGAAGAAACAGCAAATCAGTTCATAAGGCTTAAGAGACAAATACCATATTCTCACAGCTATTGGGACGCAAGCAGTAGCGAGAATGCTTGGGGTTACACTGTGGCAGAACAGGTATTGAGTTGGTAATTTTGCAAATTTTATTTAACAGGATGGAAATACATATGTAGTAATGTGGCTGTCAGTTTTCAGAGGTGGCAGTGGCTGTTCAGATGGCACTGAACTCTCATTCCATCTCAAACACATGGAAAACTACAAGGGTTGGCAATGTATAGAACACAGTCCAGATTTGGGCCATGAAGCAATGGCATCAGTCCTCAGGGGTCCTTCAGTCCTCAAAGTCATGTGGCACCAGATGCCAGAGGCTTCAGTGGACAGGGAGATTTCCCTGCACCACACCAAAAGTAGTGGACCTGAGCTGGGTCATTTTGTCCCTCTGCTGGAAGATGCTGTCAACCCCTCACTAAGATGAATAGTCCATAGCTACAAATCCTTAAAACTATAGTCAAATAACTTCCAATCATGCTTCCAAAAACTGGCAAATTGCTTGATGATCTGCCTGATAAAATTTGGCAGATTTGATCTTGCATGTAAAAAGTTTATACATACTGATCTTGTTCTAGTTACCTGTGCTGAATTCACAGGCTTGAAAACCGGTGGCTTCCAGCCACAGGGCTAGAACAGGCAAGGCTATGGCAAACTAACACTTACCATGAGTAAGTTCCATCCTGTTCTCTACTAATTCCTCAGTGCTCCCTTCTTCCACTCCTCAAAGTTGTAACACCAACTTACTTCAAATTCTCTCCTGCTCCTCCTGCTGCCAGTACCCAGGCTGTCACTGAGTCTTAGTTCTAGCCATTATCTCTAGAATCAACATTTCTTTTTCTTTCCACCCTGACTCCTAAAACCTCACCCCAGCCTTATACATAATATGCCCCAGGTATTGATATCAACCCCCACTTTTTCTCTAGCAAGACCAAGAGAATGTATGTGGGATCCCCTTGAGCTGTAGGAGGCAATAAGTGTATACACACCTCTCTCTCAATTCTGTGTGAAACCAGTAAGTTTTGTATGAATTCACTTCAGGTTTCCTACAATTTGTCCTTCTCTGAAGGGCTATAGTATAAATGCAGCCACTTCTGTTTTTAAGGGTTTCACGAATGCACAGTGGGCACATCTACACAAGACACTGACTGCACAGTAGCCAAATACTACTGTGCAGTAGTGTGCCACGGCACAAACAGTGCTAATATGCTACTGTGCAGTATTATTAGGCTACTAATATGGCATTCACTTAAATGGCATTTACTGGTGCTACTGCATAGTAACTCTAATTATGGTGCCTTTATTTAGTACTTGATTATACTTATTTAGTACTTGTATATTTATTTAGATTATATTTATTTAGTACTTGTACAGTAACCATTGCACGTTAGCATCTCATGTAAATGTGCCCACTGTGAACAGATTGCTGCAGAGCCCCTCCAACATACTTTAAGGGCAGTGTTCAGAGTTTGGATGAATGTACTCTGAGTATCTTACAGCAAGAAAGGCTACATATCAAGTTAGGCAATGTTCTACATCAAGGCATGTATTCTATGAAGCTTTTCTGAAACCTAAAAAATACCTTCTTTTGTTTTGTTTGACTTTAGGCAAGTGAATCATGGACAGCATTGAGAAACACAGCCCAATACTACATGGACTTGGGATCTTTTGTCTTTGATTCTGCAACTGCCCAGTATGTTCAGTCTTAAGATAGCACTTGAATATTGAAAATGTGTGTGTGCATGTGCAAACTGTTAATAACAGCAATGGATCAGGACCCTAATGTCATCATAATAAGACGGGGCGGCAATTATTTTGGGCAAAGGGCTGCTTACTGAGTTTTGGCAAGCTGTTGAGTGCCTCATGGGTAGCCTTGCCCCTTGACAGGGGCCCCGCCCCCTGGTTGCCATCTTGTGACCGGAAGTCCCACCTCTAACCTCTGACCTTTGCCACTGGAAGTCACTCTGCTTGCTCCTGGAAGTACTCCTTTGAGGAAGAGGGTTTTACCATCTTACAATGGGAGAAAAAAAAATGTATACTAAAAATCAAACACCCATAATATGTTTTAATTTGATTGAAAAATATATTTTTGTCCTGATTTGTGTGTTTGTGCAGTATACGTAGCAGTGATTGCATAATAGCTCAAAATGCAGTCTTACTCTTGTATAGGGTGTGGGGCATACAAGGGTGTCAGGAGGTATGGGTGGGTGGGTGGGTGGGTGTGGGTTTGCAGGGATGCATGGATGTGTGTGGGGGGGTACAGTATTTGTGGGGTGTGTGATTGTGTGTGGGGAAGGGTATGGCTGTGGGGTTTGCAGGAAAGATTTGAGTGTATGTGGGGTATGCATGGGAGAATTCGCCCCCCGAGCCAGTCAACACCTGCCCTCGCCCCGCAACAGCCCACAGTCCAAGCACCCTATGGCACCTCCCCACCACCATCAACAGCGCACAAGTCCAGTGTGCCCTGAGCCCACTCTGCACTGCTTGGCCACATGCAGTGGTAGCGGCGGGGACCAGCGCATGAAGCCATGATTCTGTGCACCCAGCACTGGCTCCAGGCTCACCCACTGGGGCTGAGCAGTGGCAGCAGTAGCTGTCCAGAAACTGCTGCTCCATGCAGGGGCGCATGGGGTCGGGCCTGTACCACCGGCAGGAGCATGGAGTCCCAGAGAGAGTGTGGGCTAGTGAGGCCAGAGGTAGAGTGCCCCCAGAGGCCATAGGTAGAGTGCAGGAGCATGGGGTTCTGGCTGGCAGGGGCTCTATGGAACCAGACTAGCTCCCCTCTCTCCCTGCTGGCACAGCTTAGCCCAGCTCCATAGACCCCTGCCAGCCCACACCCTGCGCTTCTGCCAATCTGCTCTGGGCCCTGCCAGTGATGGCCCCACGCTTCCACACACCTGCTTACTTCTACTCCCCCTACCCCTGCTGCTGCTTTCCCCACTTATCTGGCCACCCACCAGTGGCTCCTGGACCATGTGGCTCCTGGCTGCATGGCCACAATGGCAGGACTCAGCAGAAGTTGGCCTAGCCCTGAGGACCAGGGTAATTGCCTGTGGTCCTCCCCTTCCTCCCCACCCACCACATCTAAACTGAATTTCCCACTCTGGCGCAGGGAGACAGGAACAGTTCCACAGTCCCAGGCCAGAAGCCTCTGCCACACAGGGGCTTCCAGCTAGGGGTGGGGAGCGGGCCCAGCAGGCCTTGCTATTATAGGGTCCTGCCATGGCTTCCCCTGGGTTCTACTGCCACTGACTCCTCTCATCCTTGACAGGCAGCCAGGGGCAGATAAATATTAATTTTCTAAATTTTTAGGGGCCCCGCAGGCCAGATAGGATGGCCTGGAAAGTCATATCCAGCCCACAGGCTGTATTTTGCTCATCCTTATATAGTTTGCCATATCTTAATTTTAATGGTTCTGAATATAAAAAAACAATGCTTGGAAGCTAGAGGAAACAGAGCTTTATTGTGTTAGTGGCAGGAAAACTTTATAAAAGTGTAATGCTATTGAGTTGTCATTACTGATGTTTCAAGTCAAAGATTTTGGAGTGAACAGAGCTTCTTGTATGGACCTTGTTGTTAAAATCTTGAGAAAATTTAAAAAATCCCTCACGGTTAACATAGACTATGGCACCTACATGCACAAATTTACATAATATTCACAGAAAACAGTTCGTAAGTAGAAAATGAAGGAGGGGGAAAAAACCCAGTTATTTTACATTGCAAATATCAAAAACAAAATTGTATTCAATGTAGAATAAAAGCCTGTTTGAATGAAACCAGGAAAAAAGATTTGGCAGTCATAAAAAGACTATTTACAGATTGGCACATAATTACATGAAATAAGTGTCTCAGATTGTCACAGGAAAATGCTGAGGAGAACGTTAAGATGCACACTTACTTTTTAGAGATAATTATAGTAAGTTTAAGGAACAAGCTTGACAGGTATAATACAGACTTAATACTTCACTTGTAAAATCCTTTATATAAGGATGTGACTGTCCTTTAGGAAGGGGGAGTATCATTATGTGCAAACCCTCACGTTTCAGGGCTTAAAACTGTCCCAGAAAAGATTATACATTTTTGAAAAAATATCCACCCTGAATCAAGGTAAGTTAAATACTACATTGTCTGTAGTTAGGGATACCCATTTTGGAAACCCAAACTAGAAGTGTTAGGTTTCCTGGCTATCTGTATGAAAGGTTTTATTAATTTTACTTACCTCCTGTAAGCAGAAAGAGAAAATGAAAAGATGGCATTCTGTTCAGCCTTTTGTAGCCAGAGGCTGGCTAGGAGGCTCAGTGTCTCCCCCAAGCAGTCTAAGCTGAAAGAGAGAGTGAGGATGCTAAGTCTTGACTGCCAAAAAGGAGACTGAATGATTGCCATCCTATAAATTTCCAAGGAAAACTAACATTTTACCAGAGGCACTTACACTTTTATGAGAAGAGCTTTTATTCATTGGAAAATCATTCAGATTAGAAGTAGTCTACTACTTGCCCTTGACTGCTTTTGAAGTATCCAATCCAGGCTGCTGTCAGATAAGAAGCAAGACTAGGAATATGACATGAGTCCCTTAGTATGGTAACTCCTATGATTCTCATATGAAAGAACAAAGGTAGTTTTTATTGAGTCATACATTGATACATAGTAGAATACAATGAGCTCATTCAGGGCTCAATCCAACTCCCATTGAAATCTCTGATGACTTCAACAGGTGTTAATTTAGGCTCTACAAGGCAAAACATTTATGACATTTTTACATGTGCTCCAGGAGTAGGGTTGTGGGGGAGTAAATTTTAATTTGAGCAGCTCTGAGAGTCACTAATTAAAATGCCTGGACAAGCTTTAGTTAAAGTGCCCCATTGCCATTTTGAAGCACGGGGATGCTGATACACAAGATGTGGAGACTGGCTGCAGCATGTTGGAGCAGCCTCCCAGCTCATGTACAGGCATCCTTACTTTATAGCTGTTTAAACTGTGACTGCTAATGCAGAGTGCCACATCTCAGGCTTATACATAAGCATTCAGTAGAACACACATTAAATTCTGGAAGATAACATAAAAAAGACTGCCTTAAATTAGTCCTGACTCAGCTTAATGTGATTTTTTTCTTTCTTTGTAGGGACCATATTAGGTCTTATATGGATATGCTACAGCAATCTGGGATTTACCTCGAGCAGTAGACAAGAAAACAGAATTAAATCTTAGAAATAACTGACAACTCATTGCAGTGGTTTTCACTGTGGTCTGCAGACCCCTGGGGATCTGCAGGCTATGTTTAAGGAGTCTGCAAAAGATGGCTACGATCAATAAAAAGTATGTGAATGAGCACACTTATATTTCAAAGGGGTCTGCACTTCCATTCAACATTTCCAAGAGTCCACACATCCATTTAATTTTTTGTGGGGGTCTGCAAGTGAAAAAAAGTTGAAAGACACTGACTTATTGTACAGGGGGTCTTTATTTATGAATTACAGTGTTAGCTATTTGTCACATATGCATTTGCTTGTCCTTTATCTTACTAATACATCTAAAGCTGGATCCCATAGTAGGCCTACTTAATTGATAATTTGTATTCATTAAGTGAAATATCAACACATAATAAGGAATAATAACAAAGACAAGGTATCCAAAGGGCTAGCAGGAAAAAATTGGAAATAATATCAGTGTTTTGGTGGGACAAACGTATAAATAAACAGATTTCTTTTTAATGTCAATGTTGATATATTTTAGAGTTCCATCAGCTGGATATGTAGGGATTTTTTCAAGTGAGACAGAGAGAGACAGAGACAGAGACAGAGAGACAGCTGTCAGTTTGTTCAAAGTAAATGATTTTCAGACAAAATTTAGCAAGTGAAACTTTTTATTTTTACCTTGTTTGGGAGGAGAAGGGATCACATTAGTTTTGGTTTTCCCCATACTAAAAAAGAACTTATAATCTCGTTGCCCCTGCAGTATGTGACTGAAAATATTGCTCTCACCTCACTACATCCAAAGCTTCACATTCAAAATTTTAATTCTTGGATTTGACCTCTAATGTCTAAAATGATTGAAGTCCTGGCTACTTGAAAAATCTGTTCTTTCCCTTATTCTACAGCAATGGGAATCAGTGGAGACATTTATTTAGAGTCCCTACCTAACAAGGGCATAGTGCTAGTGACAAGGTATTTTTCATGAGAAGTTCAGAAATCTGGAATTCTCTCTGTTCTGAGCATCACTGAGGTTTATTTGACCCTTAAGACACTTTCTCTGGGGCCTATGGATTTGAGTACCTTAAAAAATAAAATGTAGATGGAGAGTAGTTTTGGTTTTCATCCTTGGATTAACGAGACAGGCCATATGTGTTGGGGACTTTCATGTGCCCAAAACATGAATGGAGCTGCTGGTCCTGTCCCCTGGAGCCAGACGGGCAGGGGAGCTGTGGGCACCCGCTCCAGAGCAATCGACCGCCCCAGAGCAATTCTGCTTGTAGGGAAGCAGTGAGGAAGGTCAAAGCAGAAACGGAACTCAGGCTGGCAACAAAGATTAAGGGTAACAAAAAGTTCTTCTTTAAGTACATAGGGAGGAAAAAGAAGGTGCAGGGTAACATAGGACTGCTACAGGATGGACTAGAGCAACTCATAACAGATAGGATGGACAAAGCTGAGCTCTTAAACAATCTCTTTGTATCTGTGTTCCTGGACACGGATACAAACA